GGGGGGCATGGATATGTTGTTGGCTGCTGGTTTCGGCTTCAAAGTGGTGTGGGTGTGCGGTGAGACGGGACGGGGCGTTTAGAGGTGCCAGCCGCACGGCGTGGCACGGCACGCAGCGCCGCGCCTGCGCCCGCGCCTGCGTCTGTGTCTGCGCCTGCGGGCTAGGCCCGGGGGGCAGCGGCCGTGGCGGCCGCGGCAGCGCGTGAAGCGCCGTACGTGCTGACCAGCCTAAGAAAGCAGCCAGCCAGCTAGGCAGTCGACCGCAGCAGTCCAAGGATAGCTGTGGTGTCACAAGCAGGTGCCGCCGCGTGCGCACCCGATTGGTGGCGGAAACTGAGAGCCTGGATCGGAGGGGACGCCTGACCAGGAGGCGCGGCAGGCCGCCGCTGCGCTCGGGGGCAACACATGGGGACCAGTCGCGTACTTGGCGGGAGGTGGCCAAGAGAACACGCAGGCCACAGTGCGCTGTGCCGCCTGCGCGCATCTGGACTGCGGCTGCCAAAGCGCAACGTGCACCCCGCTCGCTGCACCACAGCGGCCCGTACACGCACAGCTGCACGGCGCGCACCGGGCAAGCGGCGACTTGGCAATCGCGCTCGAGGCGCCGCTGGCGCAGAGCGCCGTTGATGCAACCATAGATAGCTTTGGAAGAACTTCGTAAGGAAGAGCGAAAGAGAGATGCACACCAGGACCCAGCCTGGTTGGTGAACGATGCAGTGAAAGGCGCGAGGTTGTTCAACGCCTGCAAGGTACAACAAGAAGATTGTTTTTGAATGGTTCAGCAAGCGCATGAATGCTGTATGGGAACAGTCAGCAGCGACACACGAGTTGATGTCAGCACACAAAGGACCTGTGATCTCACCGCGTTCCAATTGAGACGTCCACCTGCTGTGCGCGTATGGCAATTGGGACGCTCGCGGAGTCTTGGTTGAAGGGTGCGAGCCCGGTGGGCGAATCCGTGACGGCGCAGCAACGCGCAATGCAAGTATGCGCCTGTTTGTGCGGTCCACCTGCTGCTTTCAGCTGCCATGCCCCAGCTGCCAATGCAGGCACCCAGCTGCCAATGTAGCTGCTGCAGGCAATAGCTGCGGCCAGCAGCATAGCACCCATCACACATGCCCATGTCATGATGCCGCCTGCCCCGGCACCGAATGCTGCGGTCTGTGCAGGCGCGCTGCATCACGGAAAAGTGGTCGTCTCGAACACGACCAACGACCTCCGCAGCGCCGACGCCAATGTCGTCCACATCCGGCGCGCGCCACCGCCTGCCCTCAGGGCAGCGCCCCTCCTGAGCTCGCACGTACCACGCAGTGCTGTGTCAGCGCCAATCGCCGAGCGGCCCGAAGCGGCCGCAGAGCTGCTGGTCCAAGGAATTGACCAGCCAGATTTGCAGCGCGCCATCTACGAGGATACTGTCGCCATCAGCCGGCAGCTGCTTGCGGCGTTGCCTGGTGCGCGTACGACGGGCCTGAGGGCCAAGCTGGAGGTGGTGACGCGCCAGAGCTGCCCCAGGTGGCACGCCGACACTGTGGGCGTTCGCTGCCTGTGCACATATTAGGGGCCGGGGACTTTCTACGTGCCCAACCGGTGCGCGCAACCGATGCGCGCATGTCTTGCAGGCAGGCGGGGAGGGCGGTGTATTGTCGCTTGGCCGGCTTGCCGGCTTGAACACCTCACCACCTGTGTACGACGTGTCTGCAGCCACACTTTGGATGTCCACACCCGGGCTGCGGTCCGCTGCCGCACGGCCGATCGTGCGTCGCAGGGCCGTCAAGCGGCGCTGGGGCCTAGACGGGGCGGTTTCCGTGCAGGCTGTTGATGAAGCGGCGGCCGAGCAGGCGGCTGCGTGGGACCTGCTGTACCTGAAGGGCAACGCGTTCCCCGGCCTCTACGGTGCGGGGACACGCGCCGGCAGCGTGGTTGCTTGCGGGGGCAGCCGAGGTCGAGGCGGCAGGGCTTGGAAGGTGGCCGCACCACATAATCCCTGGCCGGCACCAGCAGCAGTCTGAGGCAGGCTCCACGCGTGTGCCCACCACCCCGCATGCCGGCAGCTGCATCCGGCTCAGCACCACCGGGTGACCCACCCATGGTCGACTGTGCAACTGCACCCCTCCCCTGCCTTGACCGCCCTGTCTGTCTTGTCAGGCATGGGTGCCGTCCACAAGTCCCCCGAGGGCGCGTCCGAGGATTCGCCGCGTCTCCTGCTGACGGTCGATGACGCCCCCGCCTGCAGCTGCTGCCAGCACTGATACATGTGCACGCGCACGCCCTGCAGTGCGCACGCGCGTCGCCGTCTGCTGGACCCCTGCTAGCAGCTTGAGCGTTGCAAGTATCAAGATTTCAGCAAGTCTGAGTGTTGGTGTGCACACCGCACTCCCTTTCTTGGAGAGGGACCCCTGCCTCAACAACCACCATTACTGGCAGGCTGGTTCGCTTGCAGTTGCCAGGCCACATGTTGCAGGCAGCACTTGAGGGCGCTGAGAGCATGAATTGCTGTCTTTCTGTCATTCATTGATAGCGTTGGCAGCGGAGAACACTCTCGTGTTATCTCCACCTGTTGCGCACCCTGCCGCCGCCGCAAGGGCTGAGGCGTTTTCACTGAGAGAAGCATCTGCGCAACATTACAGTAGCATCCCGGATGTTTTCTATTGTTTCATGTGGATACATGCACAGTCTTTCAAGTGTTCATACTTACTCTTACACAGGGCATCAGCCTTCCTGCCAGGAATTGCCAGGAGGTGCACCTGGGAGAAAATCATGTATGGGGCCGCGGCATATGGGTCAGGGGCTGCGGCGCACCATTTCAGGGCCTTTGGCAGCTGGTACTGCCAGCCAAGTGAAGTTCACGCCATGAGGTTGAAGGTTCTTGCAGGGCACGTGCTTTGGGTGGCAGTGTGGCTTCTAGTCAGCTGCCCCTGGCACGATGTCATGCAATTCTTGGCTACTGCAGCAGGGCCCCCGACGACGTGTGCTCTCAGGGTCTCATGAGTCGTGTGCCCTGCCCGCTCTCGTTCTATTTGTCGCAACACTATTTGTCAATCTTGAACACTGTTTCCAGCCCCAGCATCACCCAAAACAGTGTGAAACCATTCATATCTTTCGAAGATACTTCCACCGTTTGGACCAATGAAGCCATTTATGGCCCTCCACACATTATAATTGCCATTTAGCTTCGTCCTCTAGCTTCTTCTCATCGCTTCAGGCCCCGCTGTGGCCGCCGGCTTGGCTACGTAGACGCCAGCACGCCACTGCAGCGGTATGGCAACAGCTATGCGCAGGTAGCCGAATAGCAAGAAGTTTCCCGAATCTATTGTTCAAGGGGCCGCGCTTGCCTCGGGGCAAGGCCAAGGGGCGATTTCCAGGCGGTGGTGCAAGGCTCAGCGCACGGGGTGAGCACGCATAGCGTATGGTCATTTTCATCGGGCCTGGGGCATCACAAACAACGGGTTTGGGAGCACCCCCGCGCTCTCCGGAATGCGGTGTTCTGCCTCCTCCGAGGATTGCACAAGTCCGCATTTTATCAAGTACCATGTTATACTTCATACGACATGTCGTGCCATCGCGCTGGCGTATCTTGGCTCAGCAGATATTGTTCTGATCTCAGAATCCCGGTCCGTTTGTCTGAATGGCACGCAATGCGTGCAACCACATCCCGCCGTGACAACTCAATCGCAGATGGTCCCCGCGCTGCGCCCGGCCAGCTTGCTGTCTCCACTGAGCCCCGCCTGTGTGTTTGACCTCGAGATCGACTGCGGCCGCGGCGGCGCCTCGGCCACCGCAGCGGGTGCATCCAGCTGCCTCAGCCAACACGTGGACGGGGCCACCGGCGCCGTAGAGGCGCTGCAGGCGCTCTGCTACCACAACGACGCCGGCGATGACAGCGCCACGGCTGCGTTTGCACGCAAGGTGGATGGGACGATCGAAAGGCGCTGGGCGCCCGCGCTGCCAACTCGTCGACCTATTAATCATCCGGCACCGAAATTGTTGCTCCTGAGGCGCACATCCACTGTTTGCAGCCCGCGTAGGCTGACAAATGGCAAATTGGAGACGGCGAAAAACTTGATTTCTTACACCCCTCCCTTGCCCTGTCCTTTGATTCGCAGTTGTCCCTGGAGCTGCTGCGCCTTCGCGCCGCCTACCTGGTCCCCCCCTCCTCCCTTGGGGCCCCCGACAGCGACGGCGCCGCCCCCCTCGGCGCCGGCGGCTACTCCTCCGACGGCTACGGCGCCAGCGGCGGCAGCCGCGGCAGCAGCCGCAGCGCCAGCCCGTGCAGCAGCTGCTGCGGCGGGTCGCCCCGCGCGCCGGCGGCGCCCGCGGGCGGCGGCGGGCCGGTGGATGTGGAGGGTGTCGCACGGGAGCTGGGGGCGGCCGGCTACCTCGTGCACGTCCAGGACGAGGCGCCGCGAGAGCGGCGGCCCCGGGACGCGCGCCGCTGCCTGCAGCAGCTGCGCCACAGGTTCATCCTGTGCCTGGGGGCGCGCGGGCGGGGCAGCCACAGCCCCCCCAGCGGCGGTGGTGGCGGCGGCTGCAATGATGGTGATGTCGATGGTGGCAGTGGTGTTGATGTTGATGGTGGGGGCGAGCCCTCGTACCTCCCAGAGCCCCTGGTGGTGGAGCCCTGCCTCAGGGAGCAGTTTGTGATCGCGCACCCGACGCCGGCCTACACGGCGCTGCTCGAGGCCGCGCCGCTGTGCTTCGTCGGGCCGGCCTCGCGGCTGGACGCCGCCGTGGACGTGCTCTGCCGCGAGATGGCGGCAGCGTTCAGGGAGCGCGGGCTGGCGGTGCCGCCGTGGCGCACCAAGGCCGCGATGCTGTCAAAGTGGGCGCCGCAGCAGGTGGCGGCGCTCGCGGCGAAGGCCTGCAAAGCCGGCCCGCGCGGCGTCGCAAAGCCGGCGGCCGCGGCTGCCGCAGCCTCGCCGGTGGCGGCCGCTGTGCGATTGGCTCCGTCCGACCCGCTTCCCTCGGCGGCGGCGGCGGCGGCGCCGGCGCTCTGTGCTGCGGCGTGTGCGGCACAGGCAACGCCGCCGGCGCTGGCGGAGCAACCCGACGGTGCGCCAGGTCCGCATGAGGCGTCGGCGACTGGGGAGCCGCTGGTTGGCCGCAACGCGACCGCTGAAGCGCAGGGGCGTGCGACTGCAGGCCAGAAGGCGCGATCGCTCCTCGCCATGGCCCTCCGGGGGTCTGGCGGCACGGCCTGGGGCAGCTCCGCGCCTGGCAGCTCCGCTGGCGGCGCGGCCTCTGACGGCGGCGGCGGCACGCGGTCGCCGCGGGGCGGCTCGCCGCAGGGCACGGCGGCGGCGGCGCCGGCTGCGATCAGGACTGTGCCCAATGAGGCGGGTTGGGGGTGCATCACGACGGTCCGCTGGGGCGCGCTGCACAGCCAAGCGGCACCAGGGCACGCCCACGGCTGACAGTGGCGGTCGTGGGTGCCGCGAGGTTAACACCGCGCCAACTGGCAGCTGTGGGGCACCTGCATCGGCAAGACGAGCGCCTCCAAGGACGGCTGCGTGTCGCCCGTGCGAGCCTTTCGCGCATCAACAAGACAAGTCACACACACACACACACACACACACACACACACACACACACACACACGGCGGCCGTTCACCACCCACACTAGCCCTTATGGAATGCAGTGCGTTCGAAGGCATGCATGCCTCTCAGTTTCAGCGGATTGCAGGACTGAGTTCTTTGGAATGCCGGCGGTCCGGGCCGCAGAGGTTGGTCGTGGCGCGCGCATTCTTGCAAATGCTGCGAGAGCAGCTGCTGCGGTTTTCCATTCGGGCTGCCGAGGGTGCACAAGGGTCCTCGCCAATGAGAATTGCACTTGCAAGGCATCAAGGCGCGCTACTGCACACACTTGCGCCGGCGACCAGCCGGGTGGGCGCGTGCTGCGGCCAGCGGTGGCACCTGAGTGCGCTCCAGACGGCCCGAGGAACGCGGGCCTGTGGCAAAGAAGGGCTGCTGCACGGACGCCTGGGCATGGGGCTTCAGGATGCACACACAGCAACGCAAGCTGCTTCGTGGCCGTTTTGACCAGGCCACTGAGCGCGCATGCTTGCGCACCCTTTGCCGTGCCCGCGCCAGGCCGCATGGTATCATGCTTCACTCCACGCACACCCACACAAGCGTTATATAGGTCACGCATGTTGAGCAGACGGATGCACCGATGATTCGGCCTGGACGTCGATATGGCGATTAACCATGGCTTCCATCACCCCGCGCGCTTGAGCACAGGCACGCACGCAGGGCTTATTGTTTGACACCGCCCGCTTGGCTGGTGATCGCTCTCACGTCGCTGTGTTGGGGCCTGTGCCCGCCCCGCCTTCGCCCCTGTGGGCAGCGGGGCCAGTGCGCAGGGGGGCGCCCCCTGCCGGGATGCTCGCAATCATGAAGCAGGGATGGCGCCAACGGTGCGGCCTTGCGCAGCCGCAGTTTTGACGCTGGTGATGTCACCACCTGGTGCCTTGATGGGCGCGCGCCGCCCTCCTGACTTGGCGCGCTTGAGCGCCGCCCTCTCTTGACGGACGCGAGGGCCGCGGTTTTTGCGCCCGCTGCGGCGAATTCGTTTGGCCTGGCGCTGCACCCAGGTGGGCTTTCGGAGCAAGGCATTGTGGTTGCCTTGGTTTTCTCCATCAGCTCACCCACGTGCTTGTTATCGTATCGCCAGAACGGCGATTCGCCTGTTGACCGCCACCACAGTGGCGACCACGCAGGCCGCCTTACTGGGTGGCGAGCTGCACCAGCGCGCTCGCGAGCAGGTTCGGCAATGCCGCCCCTTTTTTGACCGCGATTTTCTTCACTTGATTGGACCAAACCCGCCTGATCGGGCCCTAGCCCAGGCGACTCAGCGGCTGTTCAGCCTTGCCCGCCCACGCCCCGCTAAAATGTCAGCCACACGGCAAAACACAGCATTGCCCTGCTTTGCCACTTCTGCCCTCTGGCGCGCCAGCGCCAGTTTTGACGCCCTGCATGCCCCAGTTTTGTCCCAACCAGGCCGGTGCAGCACTTGATACCCCGCTTTCTTTGTTTGTGCGGGAATGCGTAAAAAAGTTCACCTCAATGAGAACATCAGCTTCAGCTCCAGGACTGTGGTGGTGTGGGGGATGGCAGGGAAAAGCACACCAGGGGAGGCACGAAACCAGGACTGCCATTGTAGGGTGCCTGAAAGACAACATTACAAGCTGGAGTGTCGCGTTGGATGGGCAAACACAGTTGCCAGCAGCTGGAGGCTCCTCAGGTGTGCCAGCCATGCCGGCATGCCGCGGCATGCCTTTATCGGTCACCACCATGGCGGCCAGGAAGCGCGATGGCGGAAGTAGTCATCGTCCCGTGAGAGCAACGGCGCGGATGAAACAACATCAATATCCAATGCAATTGCACACGAGTGCTTTCGGATATCAACGACTGCACGCAGCCTATCACCCGTCACGTCTCGAGCCCCGGGTGCCCAGCCCGCCAGCCGTGGCGGTGTATTAATACGTGTCTGCACCTGAAACGTTCAATTATGTTATTCAAATGTTTGTGATACGCTCACACCCGCAACGCTTGATCTGCGGTTTCGGTGCACGCCACCCCTGCGTACCACAATCAAGTTTCGACGCGGAACATAATCACAAGAACACATTCACACGACATCGTCAGAAGCCATGAAGCGGGTGGCTTCAACACTCTTTTTTATCGGACTCGCCTGTGTCGCAAATGCCAGACAAGCGGCTCCTCCTGAGCGCCTATCGGTGAGCGCGAGGACTCCATACGGTAACCCTGCAAATAACGTATACTGTCACAGCACACCGTCACCCCCAGCCACCACTGTTGGGTGTTGCAACCTCGGGTCGAGGCCGCCGCTTGGATGCTGCGCCTCTGCTCAGCCCATGACCGTGGGCCTCAGCCCGTGTGAATTGCCCGTGGATTTGAGACATCATTGAAACGCCTTCCCTACCTCACCCATTCTTACCAACTGGATCGCAGAGGGAGGTGCCCGCTGACAGCTACCGCGCCCAGTATGGTGGGTAACCGCCCAGCAGCGCCCCCCACCCCACATGCGTGACATGCACACGGTTGCACTTATCCTGCGCAACCCGCGCCTCTCCTCACCTTGCTGCACTACCCCTGCCCAAGCTCAGGCTATGTGCTGTGCACCGCCGACGCGGTCGTGCACCCCGCTAGCACCACGGAGACCGCCGAAGCCATCAAAACCTACGCTGCGCTGGCTGACAAGCAGGGGAAGGCCCTGAAAATCCGCATGTCTCGCAAGTGAGCACACTACAGCGTCCCAGGCTCCTCAGGCTGCGCCGGATAGGCCGTGGCGCGACATTTGGCAGCGCCGACGCCTGCCACGCTGTGTTGAGTCCCTGCACGGCTTCCAATCACCACGCATATCACCCTCTGCCACTTTTCGACCACCGACCTGCTGCCTCCCAACTCAACGGACTGATTGCACACCCCTCTGCCCCCTCTCTCCCTCCGCAGCCTCTTCCACAGCAGCGCGGCTTTCCCCTGCCCCAACCAGGAGGTTGCGATGCCCGCAGCCGTCGACAAGCCGGCGGGCGGCGTGCTCTCCCTCGCGCTCCTGAACGACCGGCTCAACACTGTGCTGGCGGTCGACCCCGCCAAGCACCAGATGAGGGTGGGGGCCGGTATGGACATGAAGGCCCTGTTCCTCGCGGCTACCGCCAACAAGATGAGCGTGCAGGTGCGTGAGAGGGGGCCGGTCTGGCCCGGGCAGTGTGAGTGTGCTGCATGAAGCAGGACACGCCTTTGCGCTCTGCCCCAACGGCTGCTGTGTGTTCGTCGATGCCACCAGGCATCCCAACACTTCTAAAATCTTAGTGGAGTTCCAGCAAAGTGATTGCGACATTGGTGGCTTTCCCACACACCCGCATGCACACCCCTGCCACGTCATAACACCACCCGGCCGCAGCTGATGACGCTGCCCTTCTTCTCGGGCCTCACCCTGGGCGGCATCCTGGCCACGGCCTCCCACGGCACCGGCGACAGGGTGGCCTCCGCCCTGGTGGACATGGTGGTGGAGGCCGTCTGGGTCGACGCGGCCGGCACGGTGGGGGCGATTGCGCGGCGGGCGGGCAAGCGTCCGCACGGCTGTCCCGGGCTGCGGGGCGATGTCAGGCGTGGCCGGGTTCGTGCAGCGGCGGCGCTGTCTGTGTGCTTGTCAAAGGTGGCCGGCCACCTCCGACACTGCTGCTTGTGATGAGGGATCCCAGACGGCCTTTATCAAGGCGCCCAGCAGCGTGCGCAGCAGAACAAGTCACCCCTCATCTTGACACTTTCAGCCTGCGGGCCAAGCTTCCAAAACTCCAAACTTGATCTCACGCTTTATGATTGCAATTCTCACCCTCACTACGTATGTACACTCCCTTTACCCCTCACCCCTGCGACCCATCCGGTTCCTCCAGGTGCACCGCTCCACGCGCGCCACCCCCGAGACCTTCAAGGCCCTCAACGGCGGCCTGGGCCTGCTGGGCGCCGTCACAGAGATCGTGCTGCAGCTGACGCCCACCACCAACACGCAGCTAAAGACGCTGATCAACCAGCCAGACGACAACATCTACGAGGTCATAGAGTCGCTGCTCAAGGTGAGGGGTTTGGGCGGAGCCCAAGGGCTCAAGAGCTGAGGAGTCAGTGTGACATGCATGTGGCTTGCGCAAGGGGCCGCTTTGGAGTGAACTCAGGGGAACCGGCAAGTCTGCAGGGCTGGCAAGTTGAGTCTCAGGCATGGCCAGGCAGGCTTGACCCGGCGGGCTGCCGGCCTGCCCAGCAGCCTCGTGCGCCCTGCGAAACCCAACACAGAGCCTTGCACCCATGCCGGTCGCCAGTCCAACCCTCTTCTCAACACACACACGTCCACCTTTCCCACCCACCCCAACCCCATCCAGACCACGCCCCACATCCTCATCTTCTGGCGCCCCGACATGAAGCGCTTCTCCGCCTTCCTCACCTCCATCGCGCCCCCCGACGCTGACGTCACCCCCGACGCCGTCATGTCGCTGCTGCCCGACACCAGCATGATGTTCGACATGTCCTCCGGCTTCAAGGCCTGGCAGGCCGACATCTACGACAAGGACCCCATGCGCACCCTGTTCTGCACGTTCCCGCCCCCGGTGTCGCTGGTGCAGCAGCTGACGGTCAAGCGCGCGTGGGCGCGCAGGGGCGGGCGCTTCGGGGAGGACCTGCTGGATGTGGTGGGCCCCACCAACCAGATGCAGGCGGCCGAGTGCGACGACCACTGCCTGTGGAACGGGCAGCAGTTCAAGGGCACCGCGCAGGACGCCGAGTTCACGATCGACTGGGACGGGTTCAGGCCTTGGGTCGAGGACGTCAAGGCGATCTTTTACAAGGACCTCTGGCGCAACGGCACGCGCTCCGACCGCTGCCAGGTGGGGCGCGCTCCGTTGTTCGTGGGCGCGCGTTCAGGGGTCCAGGGTTTGGGGCCTCGTGCATTGTGATTCTGGGCAGGGGCCGTCGCAGGGTGTGCGCGCTGTCTGTCCAAAGATGCTTGAGGTAGGGCTGCGGCACATGATAAGGTTTGCCGCCGCACCCCAGACATTCCCTCGATTTTCACATCCTCGGTGGGCGCGACCCCCCTCGCCAGGGTGCCGGCTACCTCTGGCTGCGCTTCGGCCGCGGGACAGACGACTACATCGCCACCACCCAGGGCATGAAGCGCCCCGTGTACCTTCAGTCCACCTGGCTGCGCAACACAGAGGCGTGGCAGTACCCCCTGCGCTACGGCTACGTGCCAGAGCTGATAGAGCACATGACCCTGTGCAAGTGAGCGGACACGAACCGGTTCCGTTGTTCTGCTTGGGCCTGTTTTTAAGAACGCCCAATCGAGCAAGATGTGCATGTTGAGGAGACAAAATGTGCCCCCTGGATGAGCTGACATGGGGTATGGCAGGCAGGGCAGTGCGCTTCTGGCACATAGGGCCGCATTGGATTGGCAGTTGGCGCTTCTGACACGTGCCGTCTCACGTGCTTCCACCTTCCCCTCCCCCCCCCCCCCCCCC